GGAGCCGGTCGATGATTTGTCGCATATGTTGAAAACTCTTGCCAAGCTAACGGTGGAGAAAGACTTGAAGATTTTCCTCAACATAAAGATGCGTAAAAGGAAAAGAGTTTCGAATGATTTTATCTAAAATTCAATGTAATAGGATGGTGCTTATAAGGTTTGTATTTGGTGATCGTTTGGACATGTCAATGTTAATTTGAACGTGAAAATGAATTTTGTAGTAGTTTGTAGTAATTCAATTGTTTATTGCAATGAAACGACTTTTTTATCCCATGTACAAATATTAACATTTGACTAGCATTTAACTACTCTGTACATTAACGACAATGGCATTTAACACATACATTTGAATCATTTAGCCCATATTGAACAGAAAAAGAATTTCCCATTGCCATACTCAAAAAAAATTCACCAAACTTAAAAAATCATTTAGTTTGATAATATATTTTCTACATAATTCACCCCATTCCATTTCCAAAATAGCTGCCTCATCAATAATTCATTACAATCTGAAATAAACACAATTTATAACTGTAAATCAGTACAGACATTATGTCTTGCGTTACTAAATACACATGCTTATTGATGTTCATTAATAGGAGTGAATAATGGTCTTATTGAAGAACCATCTGGTTGACAGTTCATTCCAATACCAGCTGCTTGATAAGTCATTCCAGAAATTGGAGTATGAACGTGAGCGAAAGGACCTGCAATCATAGTAGCGTGAGGAATGGAATGGAATGGGTGGCACTTGACATCCAACCTGGTAAGACACTTTGAAGGGGTGATATCAGTGGTTGGAATGGCTGCAAGAAGAATCATTTCAAAATATAGTTTTCATAAGAAAACGATTGAAATTGCATCAAAGTACAACTTACGCCATGGAACCCAAGACGGAGAACACCAATTGTGGATGGCATTGGCATTGCACTGCATATTGTAAAAAATCACAATTTCAATTACATGAGGAAAAAAAAAAAGCATGTGCAATTTGTATACACGAAACCATATATTTACTTCATAATTAACATTTTACGTAGACGGAGCAATGTAATTTGATGCTGTCAAGGGTTATCTAACTATATTACTTTCGGAGACACCCTATGTGAAATGAAAATGTTATTAAAAATTGCGACCTTTAAATTTGACAAAAAATATATATATTTACTTACAAATATAAGTTGTGAATATGGTAAAGGTGTAGGTATGGAATATACTGCTTGCTGGGGTGTCTAAACGACATGTGTATCTTGTCCAATATTGGTTTGTCTCGATCTTGGTCTATGTCCCTTACTCGAACTTGATGCCATCTGCACGATATTAGAATATTTTCTATTTTCTATTTGTTCGGATAAATGAAGGCAACAAAAACAAGAACATAATACCTTCGATTTCTTAAAATGTAACTCCAATGGACTTTTGTTACGAAATTTCTTTGGCGCTCCCTTCCTTTTCGAGCATTTTGGATCTTGTATACTTCCTCCACCCATTTTATTTGATGCTCTAGATTGGGATCCTAAATGTAAACTCGACATGGAAATGATATTACACTCACAAATCAACTTCGTAGACATTAGCTCTTTAGATTGTAACCGAATCCAATCAACTATCGTAAGGCATCAATCCTCATCTTCTGCGGCAATGTCTGCCAACGTAGCAAATTCTTCACACATTCTGTCATACCTCAACTGNTAGATTGTAACCGAATCCAATCAACTATCGTAAGGCATCAATCCTCATCTTCTGCGACAATGTCTGTCGACGTAGCAAATTCTTCACATATTCTGTCATACATCAACTGCCCAGGAGTGCTAACCAAACCATTATAGTTCACTACAACCCTTGTGTGGGCTCTACAAACATCTTTCCTCCATATCCTCAATATGTACCTATCCGATAGTGATGTGGTGCCGTTACACATCAACGCTGATATGGCATGTCTGCACAGAATAACCCGAAACTCAAAGAGATGACAACTGCAAATAATATCGCACTCCTCTACACGAAACACCACAGAAATTTTTTTCTTCCTCACCTTTTCTTCGTAAATGACATCTTCCTCTACCTGGTACATCCTTCCTGAATAGCCATTCGATGCATATATGACATCACAGTAGACCTTTCCAGTAATCTCATCCTGAAATTCTCGAAACTTAGATATGGTATAAATTGTTTAAAATTACTTTTCCATTTCATATTTCGTTGCACACTTCACCATCTGCGAATAAGACTTGAAATCTGCTTGGAACTCATTCTCAACCTTATTTCTCAATGCACGTTCGTACTGTTCTCGAATTGCTTCAACGATGTCTTAGA